TGCAGTGCACAAACCTTGTAACCTTTGGGTGCTGAAGTAAGCACACAGACTGTGAGGTAACCATTGGATAAACCCAAGAAGGATGTGAGCATTATCATCCAGCCTTGGTCACCATATTTGGCAGTGAAATAGAATGCCGGGACGAGCAAGAAACGAGAAAGAATCACAACCATAAGCCCTCTACGATTTTCCAACTTGAGGAATTTCACCAGTGGAATGTATCTCCCAATCAGATCACTCACATTGTACATTGCAATCAAAACCAGTGCATACCTGACATGTATAACCCTAGATTTTAGAACAAAATTCTTGTTGACACCAAGTAACGTTATGTTTTAAGTACATACCATGTACCCAAGCTGTGTGATCCGGTGTCTTCGAATAAGAATCCAGGGAAAATTGACAAAGTGAGGGCATAGATTAGAAACATATCGAGTGCGTAATCGATGTTTTGAAGCAGCAATTGTTTGTTCCCCAGCCGCTCTAGATCTCTCTGCTCTTCCTCATCCTGCATGAATTTGCAGTGTTTTTTCTTAGAACATTAGAAGATGAATGGGTTGGGGCATTATTTGAGCATATGTTGGAGAGAATGACATACCGCTTCAGGCAATGTTTGGATGCCACCAGCAGCAAGGTCAGCAGAAACAGTTTTTGATCCTTCTGAAGCGGCCTTTGAGCGATAGTACTTAACAATTGGTAGCTTCGGAAAGGCAAAAGCATAAAGAATCACGCAGAGAAGCTCAAAGAATGAAGAGATTGCAAAGAACAAAACTGCAGTGGAAAAAGAAAGCCAGTGCTTTAATGTAAGTTGAACATGCACATATGTATATGGTAGGCAAGACCATGCACAGATACAAAATATCAGAAGATTTAAGTTTACGATGGTCCTAATGAAAACAGTAACATGTTCAACAACAAATATGAAAACTTGAAAACTGGAACCTACGAGCTCCTTTCCGAAGACCATTGTGGGAATTCTCAAATGCTGCCTTTGTAATTAACCTCAAAGCAGAGGTTAGGGCTCCTGATGCAGCCAAACCAGCAAGGAAAGACTGAACAGTTTGAAACAAGAAAACTCACAAATTTATAACCAGGTCCATAAATTTCGACAACTTGAAGGAAGACAAAAATGAAACATAGAGCTTGTAATTGTTATTGCAAAACAAATACTGACTTGGATGAGTTCTCCTGACATGAAAGAGAGGTCTCCAACCATTCCTCCTTGCACATGAGCATCTGCAATTCCAAAGGCAGCACTAATGGCACAAATTCCAATAAAAGTTCCGAGGCCTCCTCTCCCAGATGTAGCTAAATCCAACTATGGCAGAATGAAGCACATTTTAGAGGCTTAATCATATGTCTTCTCAATAGCAGCATTTGGTGATGTTAATTGAAGATTTAAATTGCACTTACAACTAGCACCAATAGAGAAGTTATGAAAAATAGGACATATCCAAATAGGTTTCTTTTCCTAGTATTCATCTTCGCCTCATGATACGACAAGATTATAATTGTTCCGAGCGCAAATGGCTGGTACATCAGAGTGAGGACCCTTGCGGGATGGTATCGCTGCACCAGGGGAAAAAAGAAAAATAAACTTCAACTGATGCGGCAATCCAATTCCAAATGCTACAACTGTCAAAACATATTGTCTACTTGCATATAACTCAAAGAAAATCTGAGAGATAGGTACAATGTAGAAACTAGATATTGTAGTTTCTGAATCGAAATCACATCGGATAGGACAGTTACCGGGAACAAGTCAGCATAGTAATCTTCTATTGTAAGCATACTGTTCCATGAAAAGAGGCATCCATTTCCCAGAAGCCAGCACACCACCATTGCAGCATACTTCCCCTATAATTGAGAACAAATGCATATCAGAAACTGGTTCAACAAATAGATTTGCTCTAATTGCAAGTTCATTCTAGTTTAAAGGAAACAAAAGAAGCGCTACAAACCTCAAGCTTAGGTGGGGGTCCATTTACATCAGGGCTTCCCATGATTGCCTCTGTTCAACCAGCTCCCCTACAAGTTATGATATTATGGCAAATCTTTTGGTTTATTGACTACATAAAATAAGTCACCAACATCAAATCTTAGTGTGAATCTGCCGCTAAATGCAATAAATTATAGTCAACCTATCTTCAATGATTATGATTAAAGTATACATTCAAATTCTTGCTTGCACAGCAACCAGAACATTGAGGTTCAACCAGAGAAGGCTTTACACATTTAAGTGAGCATTGGTCCAACCCTTATCTACAATGCAAACGTAAAAATTGAATTCTAGCCTCTTCTTCCCCTAAAGTTTCATTACAAGTAAGAACAAATATGAGAAGTCCTCCCCAACCAACTCCAAATATTTCATTTTATTATGCAAGAAGGAACAAAAACATTAATCTAAACCAGCCCATTATAGATTTATGAATGCAACCAAGCAATCACCTTTGACTTTTATTCACCACTCTCTCTATGTCACATGAGAGAGAGACAGAGAGACAGAGAGAACCAGGGGTAGAAACAGAGCAGATAAACATGCAAAACTAAATCTTTATCCACAAAGGAGATATACGAACTTACTCTTTGAAGAAGGTGGGTGGGATTGGATATGTATGGTGGACTGAGAAAAGAGACACTTTGATCCTTCTGAATCTTCTGCCCCCTCTTTTATATGGTATTTTAAACCAATGGGAACAGAACACCCTTTTCAACAAAATACTACCCAAAAAAAAGGTGAAAACTTTTAGGCGTCTGCTGTGAAAATCCAGAGTGGCAGTGATGACGTTTGTGGGGGGCAGGGGAGATTTCTCTTCTGCTTCTGCGGTCTCCGGAACATTCACTAAATTCTAATCCAAACCAATTCTCTCCCTTTTTTTTGTTTCGCAAAGGAAAAGAAAAGAAAAGAAAATAGAAAATAAAGGGGGAAGAGAAGAGAAGAGATGGTATTGAAATGAAAATTATTAATTTGGAAGTGTTTGAGTTTGAGGAGGGCGTTAACGAGGAGGAGACAGTTGTTGGGTTTTCTTTCCATAAAAAAGACAAGGAGGAGTGAAACTCTGAAAGAGGACGCTTTCTGTGTTCACATTTTAGAGCAGTTGACTACGCCGTCACGGCGCCTATTACTCGTCACTTTCACATTCTACTCTAATTTTAATAACATATTTTTAGGAAAACATTATTATTATTATTATTATTATTATTATTATTATTATTATTATTATTATTATTATTATTATTATTATTATTATTATTATTATTATTATTATTATTATTATTATTATTATTATTATTATTATTATTATTATTATTATTATTATTATTATTACATTTTATGATGTAACATTACATGTAATTTGTTGTAACATAACTCATTCGAGTCTCTGCCTTCACATATATATATTTTGTCAATGAGGATAGGAGAATTTGAATTTGAGAACTGTTTCAATATTAAAAAGAATAGTATATGCATTTGGCTGAGGATTTCTATGAGAAATTAATAAAAGAAGATGAAGAAAAGAAAGAAAGTAAAAAGAAGATGGAAAGAAAAATAGGAGGAGAAGACATCAACCAAAGTATCAAATTAAGCCCCTAATACCAACCAATTAACGAAGTCAATGAATACAATTGAAGAAATCTGGAATTGAATTGAAATATGATAATTAATGGCAATATCTTACCCGTTTTAAATGATATCATAAATATGAGTCATTAAATTAAAAAAGGAATGTAACCCTAAACCCTAGACAAACAAGAATCCGTGGACTGCACCCAACTTGAGGTTGAGTTTTTAAACCTAAGACCACTGATGTGTAAGCAAATGCTCTTACCACTAAGTTATGGACCCGTTATTTGATTTATCTTTAATTTTCTGTGTTGTTTAATGGCTCCATTGAATCAATTTGAGGTTATAGAACCACTACTTAAAGATTATAGTCAGCAACCCAAAAGCCCATATATCCATTCCATTTTCTCCAGCAACCCTAGTATTCTCTTGTCCACTTTCTATGCTCTAACACGAAGGAGGGTTTAGCCCCAACTTATTCCAAAATCCAGAATCTGTCTCTGACTAACGGTGCTTCTTGGAAAAGCACACCTGTTTAGGTATGTTTTTGAAGATAGCAAATGGTTCCAAATCCATACAGACTACAGTTGCCTCCTACATAATTACACTCGGCTGCTTGCAATAATGTCCATTGACCCAAGCTAGCTAGCTAGCTAGCAACTCTATTCTTTAAACCTTTTTGTTGTTACTATGAATTGCATATTCTCCATTCAACTCAATTTGAAGATAAACTTGAATTTTTATACATATATTTTCTGACTTCAGCCAGTCACTTAAGTCATCGACCTCCTTGTTTATTTCATGCATCATTCATGCAACCAATACGACTAATGTGGCAGTGATGCACCAAAAAGAAAAAAAGTGGACAGGCTTTTAACTAAGTCAATTGCAAATGTCAATCCGACACGAGCTCTAACTCTTCCATTTAATAGAATAGAAGGTTTAATGAGAACAATGTGGGAGTTCAAAATATTTTTCTAATATTAAATTAAATATTAGAAAATTTTCAATTTCTAAATCCTCCTCTTTCTCTACTAATGTTCTAATAATTAAATTTGATTTATTTTTAATTTAATATTTTTTAAAAATATTTTAAATTAAATAAACTAACAGAATTGAAACATTTGACATGATTTGCTAACAGTTGCAAATACAGTGACCAAAATCGAAAGATTGAAAGTGCGGTGACCAAAATTAAATTCAATCCTAATCCGAGTGACTAAAATTATAATTACCCCAAAAACATATATTCATACGTAATATTTCCCCCTGTTACATCAAAACTCCAAACCGCAAAAATTTCTCTTTATAAATAACCCCGTTACCCTCAACCCTTGCTCACTCATGCACGCTATATGCTCAAACCTCGTCCTCCTCCTCCTAGCTTTATCTATCTTCTTCTTCTTCACACAAACATTTTGACATTTTGATCAAAATGGGAAGCTTAGACGTGAACTTTACAGATTCTTCCTTGTCCCAAACCGACGTCTTCAAACCCTTAGACCCCGAAGACTTCCGCAAACAAGCTCACCAAATGGTCGACTTCATTGCCGACTACTACGCCAAGATCGAATCCTACCCTGTCCTCACCCAAGTCCAGCCCAACTACCTCCGCTCCCGCCTCCCCTCCACCGCCCCCTACCTCCCCGAACCCCTGCAAACCATCTTCCACGACATCTCCGCCCACGTGATCCCAGGCATCACTCACTGGCTCAGCCCTAACTTCTTCGCATTCTTCCCCGCCACCGTCAGCACCGCCGCCTTCTTAGGCGAAATGCTGTGCACTTGCTTCAACGCCGTCGGGGGGTGTCATTCAAAACACCACCAGCGAAGCCATCTTTGTAACTCTCGTTGCAGCCCGAGACCGGAAGCTTGAGGCTTTGGGAACAAACGACGTGAAAAAGCTCGTCGTTTATTCTTCTGATCAGACCCATTCCACGTTCACCAAGGCCTCCAGGCTCGCCGGGATATGTCCTTCCAATGTAAGGTCTATCCCCACCAGCCGGGACTCCGATTTCGCTTTGTCTCCCGAGTTACTTCGTGCGGTGGTGGAGGCGGACGTGGAATCCGGGCTGGTCCCGCTTTACCTTTGTTTAACCGTGGGGACAACTTCAACCACGGCCGTCGATCCCCTCGAGCTGCTTGCCCACGTGGTAAACGATTACAACATGTGGGTCCATGTGGACGCCGCTTACGGTGGAAGTGCTTGTATTTGTCCCGAGTTTAGGCATTACTTGAACGGGGTGGAGCGAGTCGACTCACTGAGTCTGAGCCCGCACAAGTGGCTGCTCAGTTACTTGGACTGCTGCTGCCTCTGGGTCAAGCGGTCGGATTTGTTGGTCAACGCGTTGAGCACCAACCCGGAGTATTTGAGAAACCAACCCAGTGAGTCTGACTCAGTGGTGGACTACAAGGACTGGCAACTGGGCACTGGACGTAGGTTCAAGTCACTTAGATTATGGCTCGTGCTGCGTAGCTATGGCGTTGCTAATATCCAGAGCCACATCCGGTCCGATGTTCGGATGGCTCGAATGTTCGAAGGGTTCGTAATATCCGACCTAAGGTTCGAGGTTGTGGTGCCCAGAAAGTTTGCGTTGGTTTGTTTTCGGCTCAAGTCATTTTCTAGGGCCGAGCCGAGTTATGTTGACTCGCTGAACCGGAAGCTACTCGAGTGGGTGAACTCAACGGGTCGTGCTTATATGAGCCACACTGTAGTCGGTGGGGTATACATGTTAAGATTTGCAGTGGGGGCCACGCTTACGGAAGAGAGGCACGTTATTGCCGCGTGGCAGTTGATCAAGGATGGAGCCGATACAGTGCTCAAGGTCAAGGGTGTATGATATGGATCAGTGAACGTGGCCCAAAATAAAGAAGTATACAATCCAAGCTGTGGCTCTGTGATGTATCTATGGGGACATAAATTTGATTGTTGAGGGGTTCACGTTGGTTGTGTCACTTCATTTAATTGGTATAAACTCTTGTACAAAAATGTGGAAGAAGCTGCACAATTTAATAATATTCTCTTCTTGGCAAACTATTTGTGGGATTTGTGTCAAGGGTGAAACACGCTTTGTATATCCGTATTACTCTATAATTTCTCAAAAAACTATCAGTATACAAGGGTGAAATCGAACACATTTTTGCAAAAGCCACTAGTTTATACGTAAGAAGAGAAGATGAGAAGATGGCAGATTCCAAAAAAATTAGGTCCTCCTTGCATATTATATGCTTCAAATTTTAACAAAGATGAACCTTATGATACAAGTTGTTTATGAAGGAAGCAAAATGTAGTAGCGAAACATTTCAAATTACATGATATGATACGGGAGGGTTGCCTTGTGATGTTTAAGACCACCATGGAGCGTCACCGGTTCTGAAATCTGTTTCAACCCATGGAACAAACACCACCTTCCCTTCATCAATGTCAGCATGAGCCAACGCCAGAGACTGTTCGAGCAAGTCAAATTGAAACATTGGTTATTACAGAAAGAATGAGATGAAGAAACAGACTAAGCAATATGTAACATGCAGCATTTGATGGCCTAACAATTATGGGAAAAGTTGGGAGAACAAATTGTTGCATGATCCTTCACTTTGACAGAGTTTATGAATGCAGATTGTAGAAGCTAGAAACCGGTATCGATATACCATAAAGAAAAAGAAATTGGCAAGAGTTGATAGAAGTCTAAATTAACTCACCAAGGGTGCAGGTCCTCTGACAACCTTTCCTTGTTCATTGTACTGGGATCCATGGCAGGGGCATATGAACTTGTTCTCAGCCGTGTTAAATGGCACCACGCAACCAAGGTGAGTGCAGACAGCGTTGATTCCATATGTGGCAAGAGTTCGGTCTTTCTCCACCACAAGGTATGTAGGATCACCCTGATAATAAACAAAGAATCAAAATTAGTTTACCTTGTAAAAGTATGCATACTTCCCCAAGTTCTTAATCTGATTTTGGGAATGTTTTAGCACACCATGGAAATATATCATCAGCCCATAATGCTGCTGCCTGTATTGCAAATCAGGCTTGAACTTTTCGTATAAATTGAAATGGGGAGATGAAACCAGACGGTACATGTTTGTAGTTCATTAGTAAGATGTATCAATACCTTCAATCCTTGTGTGAGAGTCTTGTCACCAGGGCCATGAGTCTTAATCCATTCAGATGCAATCACGTCATTTCCAAGAGCATCCTTGGCAACTTGACCACCAGCGCCACTCCCGGAGCTATAATTGTTCTCCAATCAATCAAAATAACCATGTCAATGAGCAAACGATACACAATTTCAAGCCAAAAAAAAAAAGGATTTTGGTAGTAGAAATAGCAGTAAAGTAATGAACTTTTCTATCATGGTATCAAGAGACCTTGTTGGGCTCTTTAGTAGTAAATATTTGAGATAGGCCATTCACTACCTTAAATTAACTTTTTTCTATTTAAATATTTCATTTTCATTACACTTTCAGAACAATCCAATTTCTTGATTGTTCTGATTGAGGTTATGCAGAGCTAACTTTACATCAGTGGGCCAAGCAATGAGACTAACAGCTTATGCAAAGTAAATCAAGGTAAAAATTGATTGAATTTTTCAAGTGAATATTTTTCCCTAAGCTACATTGGGTTAATGAGTTCAATATTTACATGATATAGAGTAATCCAATTTCAATGAACTACCCAATAACAAACACAAAATCAATCACAATCAACAAAATACATACATGAAGATGAAAGAAAAAGGTATAAAAAAACTGGAAATTAGGAAAAGGGTAGGTGTACTCACCCAGGTGGGACAAAGAAAGTGGTATAAGGAACCAACATGAAGCCACTGGGAAGAGAGATGGCACCCAGAAGAAGCAGGTTCATAAGCTTCCTCTTGCCCATGTCTGGCACGCGATCAGCCGCAATACTGGATGCCTGGCACGTGATTCTCATTCCCTTTCCCTTTCCCACCATCTGGGTCCTCCTGGGTTTCACAGCAAGGGCTTGTGCTGATGAGAACATTGCACTCTTGCTTGAGCATAGCTGAAAAGAAAATTCAAACCCATTTATGACATAATTATTATAGCTCAACCCTCCAATCCAAACCCACATCAGGAAATTCAAGTTGGGTTTAGTTTGAGTTACCTGTGAAGTGGTAGCAGGAGATAGAGTAGAGGAAGCCATGCTGTGAGATTATTCTCTTGGAGATGTTACTGTTAGCTTCTTCTTTCTCTGGTTTTCGTGTAGTTGAAATTTGGTTTTGTAACGACCACAGCCGCTAGTGGATAAGGCGCAAAGCCAAAAGGGCGCCACATTACCACATGTTCAAGATCAAAGATTTTTATTTTCCTATTCTATACTAGAAACTTTGTAAGGAAAAAAAAAGTTTAACTATTATTTTAATAAACAATAAAAATTGAAGACGGAATTTAGCCTAGTGGAAAAGAACATTGACTTATTGATCAGATGTCTAAGGTTTGATCTCCCATAACATCATAGTTGTGTGTTTGTGAGAAGTTTCCCTCCCGTGTATAATTTAGACTATTGTTTGTACTAAAAAAAATAACATTGATGGGCTGGGATACCTAAGATTGTGATGGGCCGCCAATGAATTTGCCAACAAAGCTTGTTATTTGTAGAAATGGGCCATTGTGGTGATCTTGGTTTTGGAAATTGGGCTAACATTTTTGTTGGTGTGAAAGTTGAAACAATTTGCATGATGTCCATTTTTCATTCTTTTTGTGATGTGTGTGAAACATGTTTGTTTGGTAGTGACTTGGTCAGCATTACCAGAAAAAGGGTTTTTCTTCTGAAAGTGGAAACTGGGACAAGTGAGAATGCTTGGGGATCACTATTTCATGATTTCACATGAACCAAAAGTCAAATGCAATAGACAATTCAGCACATCACTTTTTTTCTCACTTAGAAACCCAACTTTTGACAGTAAAGTAAGAGCAATAACCAATTGTCTGCACTTCCACTTCAAATATAATTGGGTTATGCTTCTTTATCCTAATTTATTGCACCCAAGTTTTGACATTCCACTTCAAATATAATTTGGACAATAGCTGTTATAGCCTGTTCAAAATAAAGAGTGTATATGAACAAGGGTGTTCTCTTGGTCCCTACATAGGGGTAGGACCATGAATTCCTGAGGACAACTCTTTACCCTAGCTATCGATGGACCAAAATTCAATGGTTGTCGCTCAAGTTTTTGATAAATTTTAAAATGTTAATCAATGAATTTTGATCAACTGTAATTAACTACGGTAATTTGTTCCGAAAAAAGAATTACAGTATTATAACTTCTTTTTTATTTTCCTTCTGTGAACTCTATGTGTGTGTGTATGCGTGAGATAAACAGACTTTATCTATGCCAAGCTGTTTTTGTGGTAGCTAGGAATTCGCATTCAGTATGCTGCCAATGAATTCTCCAGAGAACATAAATAATTGAGTATAGCTAGGTTTTCACTTTTGTCCCAAAGTAGAACCAGGCCCACTTCCCTGTCTCCGCCATGAATTTGCAAATGCAAATGAGAGAGAGAGAGAGAGAGAGAGAGAGAGAGAATGAATGATGATGTTATCTGCATGGGGGTATGGCGTGAAATATGCACTCATCATGTGCTTCCATCTCTCTCCCTTTGTCTCTCTCACTCACTCTGCCTTCTCACAATATCACTCCCAAAGCGTGCAATCTATCTCCACCTCCTCACTCTCTGCCACCCTCATCCTTTGGCAAATCAAAACTCTTCCATTAACAACCTAATTAATTAATTAATTAATCTTCCTTAATTTTTTATCTCACCCATATATATATATATAGCTAGAGGAGAGGAAAAGTAAAAGGGACTGTGCATATATTTGTGTTCCAAAGACTATATAAAAAACAAAGAGAGGAATTGTATTCTTTGGGTTTCTTTCTTTTTGCTTTCTCTTGCACCAATGTTGAGGAGAACGAAAGAGAACCTATTGTTTTCGTCAAAGATGAAGACACCCAACAACAACAAAGAAAGTAAAAGAAAGTAGGAAGAAAGAAATATATATATATATATAAGGTACCCATATCAATGATTAAAAGTAGGGGATCGAGATGGAGCAAGCTTGAAGCAACCCCCAAAAAAATAGAACGTTCTTCAAAGCAAATTAAGCATTTCGATTTAAGTGATAACACACACAAAATTAAGCTTCTTTGTCTCCCAGCTTACATTAATGGTAAAATACGATAACTTTGGATTCTTAGAAGTTGAAATTGAGTATGAATGGTACAATATGACTTGATTTTGACGCCATTACCATATAAGTTACAAGCATTGAAAGCCAATGAGCACCTAAATGCGGTTAGAATCCAAATTCAAGGAAATTATTATGTCGAAACAATGAAAAGGATGAATCAAATTTCGAAGGACAAAAGAAAATTTATTCAAAGGACATTCCGTGCATAATAATTGAATGGCATGATCTATAATTATGTGTTACGGTCTAATTATGATGAATGGCCGCACATTGTTTCTTTCTCTTGTTTTTTTTTTTTCTTTTCACTTAAGCACATTGCCAATGACATATGCCAAACCATCTTTATTTGGTATTTTATTTATTTATTTGCCAAGACTATGATGTCTTGATCACTACGTCAAGACCTAATAACTTCAAGTCGTCTATCAAGTATTAACTAGTTATTAATTTGGTTGTATTTCTCTTCTTCACATTAAAAAGAGACTTCAAGTTCGAAAGTCCCTAAAAAATGGAAAATACTTCTCTCCTTACTAAGAGCTCTTACATTCCTACCGATAGCATATGTGTGCCTAAGTTTTTCTTTTTATATTTTTGATGAATTATTTTTGTATATATACGTCAAACTGT